TTTTAGGCCATATCTTAAACGGCTCCCTTCTCCCACAAATTGCAGGACATAGTTCTTAAGATAATGGCTGCTGCATCTAAACAGAACAAAGAACCACTTTGGATTCAGCCATGTGAGCACAATTCATACTGGACATAAAGCACAATATTTGGGTGCAAAAGCCAAAATTTCATAACTCACAATGCACTATATAGGAGCAGTGAGCCATTTGAGAATTCAGCCTCAGGATTTTCCGAGGTCTCATCTTAGATGTTTAATGTTGACTGCAAGCTGAATCACCAGTGATGCCACAGCCATCCGTGACTGGAAGTCTAAGAGAGCATTACTGTCCTCTCCCTTTCTGGGAGAGTGTAACGTGACAGAATTCTGGGAAATGGAGTTCTAGTGTGAGCTTGAGCCAGAGGGACGCGTGACAGAGGCCATGCTGGCCCTCCTTAAAAGGAAATGAAATGCCAGATTAGTTTGTACTCGTCCAGTTATTTTGTTGTTTATTGCCAGATTGTTTGGCAAGTGTTCCCTGCAAGACTATTTTGCAATAATTTCTTACCAGGTCATTTAGATAATATTTAATAAACATCATCTCTACACTGTGAAGAAGCTCCCAGGAGTGAAGGTCTCCCAGCAGACGGGAGCTGAACGCCGCTGTGTACTAGGAGTTTACCAGGAGCTTTGGTTTAATTCTGTAATGGGTTTGTTTAAGGCCCCTCATCCCTCGACGTGCCAGCTGTGTGAAATCGCTCCCTACCGGCAGTTTGTTTACACTAATCTCTACATGCCCTGCTGTGGTAAACAAAGACGGGCACACTGACTGGCTACATGGCTACAGTTTATATGACAGGGTTTGTTTGCTTGTTTCTGGGTGTGGATGTTTACTTTTGAGAGTTCATGTTTAGGGTATGTGTGTCTGGACAGAGAGAGAGAGAGCAAGAGAGAGAGAGAGAGAGAGAGAGAGAGAGAGACAGAGGGAGGGAGGTGTAAAAGTGTGAGAGACATGCTGGTTCTTAATGTCTCTATTTATTTTTAAATATTTAAAATATGTTTTTATAACATGCACAAAACTGTCTGAACTACCATACTGTGCAAATTTATTTAGTTTCCAGTCATGCACCCGTGCATTTTTCAGGAGATCCTTCTGAGAAGGTTGGATAAAAGATAATCCACTTGCATAAGGAAGATAAAAGTCAAAGAAAAATAACAAAAAAATAGGAGTTTCCAAAAGTGGAGGTCAAAAAATGATTAAAAGCTACAGAGACGTTGAGACTCCTAACAACCACCTGGAAGACCTGGTAGACACTAAAACTGCCCCCATCAGATAAACAGCACTTAAAGCTTTCATCTTTGAGAGAGAGGAGAAAATCAAGCTGCTTCAGATCTGAAAACATCCACAGGTGTTTCTGTCCATCCTTCCACTGTGAGAAGACGACTCAGCGCTATGGGTCTGAAAGGATGTGTAGCTGTCAAGAAGAACCTCACTGAGAAAAGGAGACGGACACATCAAACAAAGAAGCTGAACAATGGACTGACCACCCCAGAGTCCAGACCTCAACACCACTGAATGCGTTGCTTCAGAAAATGATCAACCAGCTTCTAAGACTGGCTGTTTTGACTGAAGGATGGTGTCTGATTTTTGCACAGTACTCTACTATTCTGCTGCATGTGGAGTGTGGGACTGGGGAACATTCCCTCAACAGGTGTGCTCTTGGTTCAGTGCTGTGGTTGCCAAAGCAGCGTGGTTACCTTCAAGCCAGGTGACCACCCACACACACATTCCAGCTGGGGCCCCAGAGACAGACACTTCCTCCAGTAACAAGATGCCTGTGAGGGGCCTGTGTCTTGTGCATATTTATGATGCACAAAACCACACAAACAAATACTGGACATGAAACGGACGGTTTGACCTCCCAAGCTGAATACAGAGGGAACATTTTGTACTCTCTGAAAGCTACAAAAAGCTCTCTGACTGGATTTTAAATTACTAGGTTGCAAAATAAAAATTAGATTTACACAATTTTCCAGTGTAGATGCTTTGTAGATGTCCAGTGTAGATGCTTTGTAGATGCTCGCCCGTACAAAATGTGGCTGTTTCTGCCAGTTAATCTTCTCTGTTAATAACTTTTCAATGCTATGGTTGCATTTTTTCAATTGGTGAAGAACATGATCTAACAAAGATGAACATTGAAAGATTTTTATGTAGTTTTTCTCACAAACTACTGAAATAAAACATGAAAACTTGACCGCACTTGAAAAAAATCACAGTGCATCCATCAAGGAAACCTCATGCATCTTCGATACAGTTATAGACAACATGGCAGCACAGAATGTGCTGATTATACAAGCAATGCCTTTTACTCTGACTAACGTAGACGTGCACACGCCATAACTCCTCTGGTGGTAGATAAGGTCATTAACATCAAGAACACCGTGAAGCTATTAGTTGACTTAGTATATTGATCGTTCTGCCAAATTGTTTCAAAGTCAGAGTTCAAAACCTGTTTCAGACTTGAACTGACTTTAAGAGTTTGTCTGAGTTTAAGACTAAAATCCTTTCGCTTTGAGTGACTGTATACCTTTATTATGTTTAGTTTATTTGAATCAATGATTGAACGTTCCATTTTGCCACTAACAAAACATTCATAACACCAAAACTTCACAAAATGTTTCAGTAATGACTGTTTCGGTCATGACAGTTTTAGCCCATTTTGAGCAGAACTCAAAAACTAGCCAGTACATGACGAGCAAACACAGCTTTGAATAGTCGTACGCACTTACATTCATAAAAATGTCATTAAAACAAAAATTTACTTTATTTGCAGAAAATATGTGTTTCAGTAGTGATAATTTTAAATGTTCCTCACTGATTTTCAGACTTTGGGACACATTTACTTCAAAACATCAGGATCTAATTGGGGGAGACAGGGATGCAGTCTCACTTCTTGCTCTAATATGCAGGGGCGTGGCTAAAAATAAGGCCCTGCCTACAGGCTCCTTTCATGTGTTTTTTTTATTGAGAAATTAAACTCATAATAATAATGATAATCATCATTATCATCATCATTTTCAAAGAAAGATACATTAAAATGGTTAAAGTATTTTTTTCACAAGCTGAAATCTCCATGAATGATCCATGTGTGTTCTTCTGAAAATAAATTAGTACATAAATATTGAAATAATTGACTAAATAAAATTAAACAGTCCAACTGGCCTCAAATCAGTTAGTGAAAAAAATAATAGCAGGTTGTGGAAGAATGGAAGGATGGAAAATGAACAAATGAATGAAAAAGATACATTAAAAATAGGGATGATAAATAACGAGTAATCAATTGGTAAAACTATAAGCAAGATTAGAAACTGGCGCATATTCAACAGTTAATTTGACGCTAGTTACGGCGTTGAGGAAGGTTATCCTTTAAAAGGGTTGAGGGAGAGTTCAGGGGTTAAAGTGAAAGTCTCTTTGGGAGGGTTTTCTGGAGGGGTCCCACTGGGCACTGGGGCCACTAGCTGCTCCGCTCCTGCTGCTGCAGTATGAGGACCACTGAAGCCACCAGTGCGGACAGTGTTAGGAGAGCCGAAGCGAAGACGAGCTTCAATAGGGCTCCTGTTTCTCTCCATCGCTCAGGGGGCTGAGGTGCCGCCTGAGCCGCTGTAATCTGGCCGTTAGATCTGACCGCTGCTCGGCGGTAGCCTCTTCACGCTCCGTGCCAGGAGCCTTTGAACTCGGCGGCCAAGAAAGCGCAGTGGGGGCCCCTCTCTCGCTCCCTGTCCTCGCGAGTGATCAGAAAAATAATGACGTTAAAGAAGCATGAAAAGAGACAGCCTTGAAGATTTTCAGCGTGCCGTTAATAAGCTCTCGGAGCATGCTGGCCGGCGCTGAGGTCAGGCTGCATTAGCGCTTATTGCTGGGTTGAGTGACACATGGGATTATCGGGCCGCGCAGGGAAAATAAAACAGCTTTCATCAGCGTGGCACTGGAGCGCGTGTGTTTGATGTCTCAAGAGTGAAGGAATTAGGGGTGTGTGAGACGTGAGAGCTGGAGCGGACAGGCGGGAACATAGAGCTCAAAATGTGGGCCCATTCCACATGAAACAAGTCCACTTTATGGTCCGGGACAAACAGAAATGGTGTGCTATACCAGCAAGTAGCCCTCAGCTCCACAGAACACTGTCTAAAAGTATCCAGAGATTCCTTTTAACTAGTGAAGGTGCATCCACTGCTGACAGCTTGTTTAATCTATAAAAAAAAGAACTGACCAATGGAATGGGATGATCTGGAACAGCCGCACATGAGCCTAAGGTCACTATGTGATCCAGAACTGATCATTCAACATCAGTAGCTGAGCTCACTAATGCTCTTGTGACTGAATGCAATCTTCTCCTCACAGCAATGTTACGACATATAGTGTAAAGCCTTCCTAGAAGAGTAGAGGCTGCTACTGCAGCAAAGGGGGAAAAAGCCTTGTCCAGCCTCGGAGCGGCTACAAAAGGGCAGAGCATAGCTGTCAAGGACCGATGCACTAGTGTAAGACGATCTTTTGATCTCTTAGGACAGTGGTCAGTAACCAAAATGTAAAGAGCCATTTTGACTTATTTTGCTCTGCCTTAAGTTTTAGCTCAGATACAGCCACTTTTCTCGCATCTCCGGCAGGAAACTTTTACACAAAAGTAGAACTGTTTCTTGTAAAATGTCTCTCAAAGTTCGACTTTTTACGAGGCTGAAGTTGCTTCTCATTCGCCAGCTTCTTGTTCGAATTTTCCCATTCCACCTTAAATGGTACCTGAGGTGCCAGAATGTTACTGCTGCACCATTTAAGGTGGAACGGGAGAATTCGAATGAGAAGGATTAGTGTTTGACAGTTTCTCGTTTTCTCGAGTTCATCTTAACTGGTAGAGATAGTGTTCGGTGTGCTGCTCACTCTACCGTTTAAGAATCATCTTTGTGCTAAGATGCTTTCAGGAAACCCAGCCCTGGTCAGTAACATGGGAGCTGTCTCTCTGCTGTTTCAGGTCACTTTCTGGGTAACCACAGTGTGCTGGACATCCTGCGACAGGAGGGTTACGAGGTGGAACACACACCAGCCCATGAGTCTGTTACACAGTGAGTTATTTTCTCTCTCTCTCTTTCTCCCTCTCTCACACACACATACACACAATCAGTCATAACATTATGACCACCTCCTTGTTTCTACGCTCATTGTCCATTTTATCAGCTCCACTTACTATATAGGTGCACTTTGTAGTTCTACAGTTACAGACTGTAGTCCATCTGTTTCTCTGCATACTTTGTTAGCCCCCTTTTACCCTGTTCTTCAGTGGTCAGGACCCCCATTGACCCTCACAGAGCAGGTTCTGTTTGGGTGGTGGATCATTTTCAGCACTGCAGTAACACTGACGTGGTGGTGGTGTGTTAGTGTGTGTTGCACTAGTACAAGTGGATCAGACACAGCAGTACTGCTGGAGTTTTTAAGCACTGTGTCCACTCACTGTCCACTCTATTAGACACTCCTACCTTGTCAGTCCACCTTGTAGATGTAAAGTCAGAGACGATAGCTCATCTGCTGCTGCACAGTTTGTGTTGGTCATCCTCTAGTCCTTCATCAGTGGTCACAGGACGCTGCCCACAGGACGCTGTTGGCTGGATATTTTTGGTTGGTGGACTATTCTCAGTCCAGCAGTGACACTGAGGTGTTTAAAAACTGTCTGATCCACTCAGACCAGCGCAACACACACTAACACACCACCACCACATCAGTGTTACTGCAGTGCTGAAAATGATCCACCACCCAAATAGTACCTGCTCTGTGAGGGTCCATGGGGGTCCTGACCACTGAAGAACAGGGTAAAAGGGGGCTAACAAAGTATGCAGAGAAACAGATGGACTACAGTCTGTAACTGTAGAACTACAAAGTGCACCTATATAGTAAGTGGAGCTGATAAAATGGACAATGAGCGTAGAAACAAGGAGGTGGTCATAATGTTACGCCTGATCAGTGTATATACACATAAATACACATCAGGGGCCTAGATACAGGGAGGGTTGGGGGGCCTAGGCCAGCTCACTTGGAAAGCAGGCCCCTCCAAGTATCTGACTGTTCAAAAAAAAAACATCTGATGTGAAACTAAATGTTACAGTAATGTTAATTCAATTCATGCATCCGTATGCACTTCTTATACTTTAAATTAAAATAAAAGTGCTCTTCTTTGATCTTCACCTATTTTATCACCATGGCAACATTTACACAGCTGCATTGGTCGCACAAAGCCACAGTTTTAAACCAGTTCTTCATTAGATCTCTGACATTGTGTGTCATTCTGTAGTCAGTGTCTTGCCCATATAGGGATTTCTGAGTCTAAGCAAATTTTCTCTGTGAGAAATAAATGAATGGTGTTTTTAAAAAAAAAAAAAAAATGCTATCACATCTTGTCGTAAGTGCTGTCCATGCTGCAAACAAGCTAACACTCCTGCACACTGAAATGACACTGCATGGAAAAAAGTCTACTATTTATTAAACCTCAGCAATGTTATATGGGTCAATGACACATAAGGTTTATATATATATATCAACTGCAGCCTAAACCTGCCAAAGCAACTTCACTACCACATTTACAAAGCTTACTGGTTTGCATGGATTTTGGTGAGGATGCCAGTTTTATGATGTCCATTTAGCAATATTAGCTTGCATGTAGCAATATTCAAAATTTTGCTCCTTAACAACCACATAATTCAGAAGATCCAGTGAAGTCCAAGGAAAAATGTACATACAGCAGAATGTATCAGCTTTGGAGCATTTTAGTTTATCACAGGAAACGATAGCAGTGATTTTTGGAAACAGCATTCGTTGTTCTCATAGAGAAAATCAGCTGGAGCTCAAGTTCTTAATAGGAACATGACGCCAACTACAGAATGACATGATTTTAGAATGACTTTTTTTCCCAAACATCAGTATGTAAACACAGCATTACCCTGCTTGACCTTTTCTCCAAATTGTAGGAACTTATCCATATCATAGGTTACCGTTTGTCTAGATAGCAAGGCAGGTAAATAGTAAAGTTGACCATAGCAAAGAAAACAAAGATCAATATTGTGGAAAAAACAACTAGAAAGTTGCAGTCTTCAACCATTTGACATAGACAACTTTGCCTAGTGCTGTAAAAGACAGGCCTCTAGTTAATTAGCCTTGTTATACACTCTTAAAAAAGATGGTTCTTCAAGGGTTCTTTAATAAAGAAAATGGTTCTGTATAGAACCATGAACACATAAAGGACATTTTGCATGATTAAATGGTTCTTTGCATCACGAAAGCGTTCTCCAGATTAATGGAAAGTGTGCATAAAGGTGCTACAGATGGGTCTATATAGAGTCTTTTTGAAAAGCTTGACATTGTAACAATAGAAGAACCCTTTTGGGTGCTATATAGAACCATTTTCAAAAAGGTTCTATATAGAACCATCTACAGCACATTCTCCATCAACCTGAAGAACACTTTTATGTTACAAAGAACCTTTAATCATGCAAAAGGTTATTTGAGTGTTCATGGTTCTATACAGAACCATTTTCTTTATCAAAGAACCCTTGAAGAACCATCTTTTTTTCTTTATCAAAGAACCCTTGAAGAACCATCTTTTTTAAGAGTGTAGTAACTAGGCAGTTGAATGTGTGGTCAGCAATCGTATGTTGTGCTTATTTTTTCCCTCTCTCTCTCAGGTAATGGTAGCTGTAATGAAGGCTAGTTGGTGGTTATTAATCTCACTACAGTGAAGTCTCAGGGATAAAATACTTTCTATCTGACCCCCTTAACCTGTAACCACAACACCCCCCCAAAAAAACAGATTCACACACAAACGTATGCATACGCAGCTAATAATTCTTTCTCTGTCTCTCATTTTCTCTTTTATTGTATTCTTCTTCTCTTTCTGCTTCCACTTCGACCATCTGTGTCTATTTCTTTCTTCTCCTTTTCAAATCCCTCTTTTTCCCCCTCTCTCCCAATTATCTTGCGCCACACACATAATAACTCTGACCGTTATTGAATAACACGTTTTGCCGACCATCATATTTAATTGAATACACCAGGGAAAATTGCATATACAGTCTGGTCAGCGCATCATGGTCCACCACATAGACGTGCTTGGCACGCTGTAATTCAGCGTGCAGGCATTGCGCACACAACATTTAAACTGCAAACAGAGCTAAAGTATGCCTTTGATCCCCCCTTAACCCCCTGTCCCCCCCCCCACTAACCATGATGAGATGGGCCAGACCGTAACTTTGCCAACTCAAATGGCACACGGGTCTGGCCCATTTGTCTTTTGGAGAGGGGTGCTGTGTCTGCTCACACAAAAGGCAAACCCCCTGCTCTCTGGCATACTCAGGCAATTACTCAATAGGCTTTTAAGGAGGAGGAGAGGGGAGAAGAGGGGAACAGAGGGGTGTTCCAAACCCAGAACAGGTTGAGCTCATTAAAATAGCAGCCATAACGGTTTCAACACCCACTCGAAACAAGAGCACAAATGGAAAAATAAGAGCAAAGAAGGGAAATAACCAGGCAAAGCTGCTGCGAATGGCCACTGCGGCCAGCCGCCAGTACCATCTGCCATTCCTTTAAAAACTTCCCACTGGATATTAAAATTATAATGGGCTTCCACTGGAGAGGGATGAGTAGGAGACTGTGGTGGAGTGATTGAGCTGAAAATCTGACAGCTGGAGAGGATGAATGAGTGAGTGAGTAAAAAAGTGAAGGCGAGAGATACAATGAGCAAGTAAGTGAGGGAATAAGTGAGTAGGAAAGAGTAAGTAAGCAAGTGAATGACTGAGTGAGTGAGTGAGTGAGTGAGTGAGTGAGTGAACAAGTGAAAGCGAGAGATACAATGATCAAGTGAGGGAGTAAGTGCGTAGGTGAGAGTAAGTAAGTGAGTGAACGAGTGAGTGAGTAAGTGAACAAGTGAAAGCGAGATATACAATGAACAAGTGGGGAGTAAGTGAATAGGTGAGAGTAAGTAAGCAAGTGAATGAGTGAGTGAGTGAGTGAGTGAGTGGATGAGTGAGTGAGTGAGTGAACAAGTGAAAGCGAGAGATACAATAAGCAAGTGAGGGAGTAAGTGAGTAGATAAGAGTAAGTGAGTGAGTGAGTGAGTGAGTGAGTGAGTGAGTGAAAAAGTTAATAAGAGTTACAGTGCGCAAATGAGGGAGTATGTGAATAGATGATAGATGACTGAGTGAATCGTTGACCACGTGATTGAGTGAGTGATGGAGCGCATGAGTAAGTGAAAGAGTGTAATAGTGAATGAGTGAGAGAAAAGCAAATGAGTGAGAGAGTCATAGTGACAGTGAGTGAGCGAATAAGTGAATGAGTGAGTGAGCAAATAAGTGAACGAGTGAGTGAGCAATTAATGAACGTGAGAAAGTGAAAGGGAGTGTCAAATTTTGTGAGTGAGCAAGTGAGTGAGGGAGTGAATGAATGAGTGAGCGAACAAGTGAGTGGGGAGCGAGCGAGTGAGATTTAGGGAAGTGAAATAGAGAACGATACTAAGTGATTGAGTGAGGGAGTGAGTGACAGTGACTGAATAAGAGATTTAGGGAAGTGAAAGAGAGAGTGACAGTGAGTGAGTGAGTGAGAGAGAAAGAGAGAACAGTGAAAGAGTGAGTGAATGAAAAGTGACTGAGAGTGGGAGAGAGTGAAAGAGTGTGAATAGGAGGCTGAGTGAGAGAAAATGATTGAGAGAGGAGGTGAAAAATAGAGTAACTAAGAGTAAAAGAGTGTCTGTAAGAATGAAAGAGGGTATATGTGTGGGAAGTGACAGAGAGTGAGTGAGTCAAGGACTGAGAGAAAGAAGATGTGAGAGTGACAGTGAGTGAATGAGTGAGTGAGAGGGAGAGATCATGAGGGAAAGAGATAGATGCTATTGAGCGAGAGATCAAGTGAGGAAGACGATGAATGAGAGACAGAGAGTGAGTAACAGGCAGCAAAAACTAACAGGGGGTGACTGAGTGAGTGAGTGAGAGGGAGTAAGAGTGAATGAGTGAGAATAAGTGAAAGAGAGAGTGAATGAGTGAGAGCGAATGAAGTCCTGAACCCACGCAGAGCAGTCTGAATCCCACCAGCCCCCAAAAATGCAATGATGTAACCTATATAAAAAGAGTTGTCATGGCAACCATACAGATGTTTATGTAAAGCTTCATAAACCACAAACATGAGGCCTAAACTGAGTCGTGGCTCAAGGCCATGAAGTGGCCAATCAGAAAGAAGCAAAGTTTAACCTGTTACGTTCTAGGATTATCATCAATTATTAATCTAGGTCAGTGGTCACCAACCCATTTTCTGAAGATCTACTGTCCTGCAGAGTTCAGTTCCAGCCTGCAGCTGGCATGCTGTCCCACCTTATCTAATACTAATGTTCTTGATCCAGCCAATCTAGAACTTCTGGAGAAGTTAATGAGCCAGGTGAAGCAGATTGTGATAGGAACTAGACTCTGCAGGAAGGTGGGTCTCCAGGACCAGGGCTGGTGACCACTGATCTAAGTGTGCCCTAAGTGAGCACTAATCTAACTACTTATTGAAATGCCTTGTATTGCACTCATGTTTAATTCTGTATCTTTCTTTCTAGGTACATTAGCACTGGCTTTTGTTTCTTAGCTCAAGGGTAGTTTCGGCTCTAAACTGTTTGTTCTAGCTACGATACGTTCTCTGAGTAGACAACAAAGCACTTCTGTAAGTCGCTCTAAGCAAGAGCGTCTGCTAATTGCCGTTAATGTAAAGCCTGTTAATTGAGAGAGACAGAATAATATTGGAGGAAAGATATTCAGTTTAAAGACTTTAATAGGAACAAGGATCAAAGTACTCAACAAGATAATCAGTTCTGGTGATTTTTGAACACACTGTGCTGTTCTGGGTTCAGCCTCTCTCTCCTTATATCTTGCAGAAAGCCACCTCACACTGAAAGCTCATAACTAGAGCCCAGGAACATAACTGTGGGTCCTTTAGAGTGCCAGATTATGGCCTCCACTTCCCCAGTGGTTAGTGGGTTGTTTTGGCACTTTGTAAATTCTTTACATGCTTGAAGTCTGTGTGTGTGTGTGTGTGTGTGTGTGTGTGTCTGTTGGAAGTTCAAAGTCTATTCTATCAGAAACATGATAATGGACTGTGGAGGAATTCAGCACCACACACACATACAAAGACAGAACTTTCTGAAGAACCCTTGAGATTTTTTCCACATCTCTAAGGTGATAACAGGTATTATGGAGCTTTCATCGCACTTAGCAGTGTGTGCTGCTATTTTAAAAGCAATAGCCCAGCACTCTCAGCCATGCACAATAACGTAGGCTATATGGAAGCCTGCTCACCCAGGGTTTCCTCTGAAATTAGGAGTTTTAATAGGGAGTTTGTTCAGTCTTTGCTGGCTTTGCTGCTCTTCTGGAAGGCTTTACACTAGATCAGGGGTGTGAAACCCAACCGCTAAAAGAGCCATATTAAAAAATCTCCACAAATCCGTGAGCCAGAGAATGCCTTTCTTCATCTCAGACACTTTTCTGATGCCACTGTTGTCTATCCAACTCTCTCGTTTTGTTTCTTAATAGTACTTAACGTGGTATTCCTTCATTATGGCCACCCCATCTCTGCAAACGAGACAGATATTGGAAGTAAAAAGATATTTGAGCTCCCATCTGTCTTTGAATCCCCAGCATTCACTGCCCACTTCTCACTTTTAGCGAACTAGGTGTTTAGCTAAGTGTTTATATTGGTTGGACTGCTGCTGAAACACAGCTAGTGTGTCTGGTGTTGTGATTGGTGTGGTAGGATTGAGGTGTAACTGCTGTCCCATAGATTGCTGTTGGGGGGGAGGGGGAGTAAGAGTGCATTTCACGTTGCAGTGCATGTTGGGGATTGTAGTGCTGCACACTGTGAAATGGGCTAACATTAATAGAAAATCAAAATAATTCCGTGGGCCAGATAGGATCGTGCTACGGGCCTGACTTGGCCCGTTGGCCTTGTGTTTGACACATGGGCACTAGATGTTGGAACACTGCTGTGAGGATTTGATTACATTCAGCCACAAGAGCATTAGTGAGGTCAGGTAATGAATTTGGATCAGTTCTTGATCACAAACTCATCCCAAAGGTACTGGATGGAGATCATTTGCTCCACTCATCCCCAGCCCAGTGCTGGGTGGCTTTACACCCCTCTAGTTGACTTCTGGCATTGGACATGCCACGTTTACATGTGGTCAATGGCAAACCGGATATTCCATTGTTTTTATTGGAGCAGTGACGGAATTCTGCCGCTGCCAGTGGAACATTCCACCGAAAGTTCAGTTTTCCCAACTTCTGCAATCGACTGCGGTGGTGGAATAAACTAAATGTTATTTTTTGGGGGGGATTATATGGATGCCGGACGTCTCATTGTTGAGGTCCATGCAAACCCATTATTATATAATAAAAAGTAAGAGTTTAGAGAATCCTTCTGCCTCTTTCCACCCTAAATATACAACAAACACTGCTAAAGCTTTTCTCTGATTATCATCAGTTTTGGCTAATGATGCTGTCACCATGCCAACGTTTGCGTGGCTTCATGCTGCTGTTAGTCACACACGGCTGTGAGGCACTGAACGTTTTGTGACGTGAATGTGGCACTGCTTTTCTCTGGAGATTATACAAGCTTTGCGCATAGCTGAGCACCTGTGTCAGCCACCAGCCAGCAAATTTAACATTCAGTACGGAGATTTCAGTGATGACACAAAATCAAAGTAACAAACACGTTTGTTAACATCCCCCAAAGATTGTTCTATTAAATCATCTATATGCTGGCATGTGCTAGGTTACAGGTGAATAAGGAGTGATACAAGACCCAGTTAATGGGGAGTCTGGCCACTTCCTATTTCTCTTATTATACCAAAAATGTGACATTTGAGTGCTCAGTGAATGGGAGTGAAAGGAGCAAAATGGCTACAAATTAAATATTAAATGTGTTTCTAGCCATTTCTGTTGGAATGTCCTTTAACTGTGGAAAGTAGAATGATATATTCCATTAAAATATAAAATAATATAATTTCTAATAACTTTCAGATTTTTGCAGCAAACAGGTTTTGGGCAGTAGGATGCTCACATTAGTGCTACTAAGTGCAGTAATGTTAGCATCCTGGTTGGTGAGCTGATTATTTCATTGGCTGAGTGAAGCAGTTCACGCTTACTGAAATATAGCAGCGGTGTTAAAATATTTTATGATGTTCTGTGTTGAAAAAAAACAGCACGTTTTCTATATAAAAATGATCAAGCATGTACAAACTATGATTTTGCACAAAAGCTCCATAGGAAATCATTCATTTTAGACTCACTTAGGAGCGCCCTCTAGCGTCCGACAAACCTGGAAGGCACTGAGTGGCAGTGTATCTCATTACATCACATTGCAAGGTCAAAGCATACTGTACTATAATGCTACACTGCCCTTATGCACCTGTTTCACCTGTTAAACCCACCTGTCTCTCTGTCCTCATGGTTCCATCCAAGGAGCTGGGCTGAGGTGGAGGGTACCACTTTGATGCCAAGTGGGGGGAGTCCAGAGCCAGTGACACAGTGGATGTCAGAAGCTCCGGAGCTGGAGGAGGACCCGCCTCACCTGCTGCTGCCAGACAGCCTGAGCCAGCTGGAGGAGTTTGGCAGACACAAACGCCCCCGCAAGGCCCACCGACAGCACAGTAGGCAGCGGCTCTTCAGCGACCTGTGGGTGCGCATTGGAGACAGGTGAGACCACGCCCACTTTCAGCTTCTCACATTTTGAGGAAACACACTTTTTGGAAAACTAGGTGAGGAGAGTCGTGTTTGTCAGGTGTGCCTGAGTAGAGCAGAGGGGCATTCACTTCCACTGGGTGAAAAAAGTGTGTAAATCACTGAAGCTTAGCCCTTATTTGGATCATATGATAATTCATAAGTCATAATTCAGTTTTACATGACCATATTCCAACATCTCTTTATCCCTCAGAATTAAACAGGCTGTTTTTGTGAGAAACCGAAAAAAAGTGTGCAGTTTGATGAAAAATCTTGCACAGAAAGGCTACAATTATCCTTATATCCCCCCTATGTTTATGACATCATACACAAATAGTGCACGATAAACACACAGAAACTCAAAAGTTTGTTTAAAAAACTTAAAACATGGCATTTCTTTCCCGTTATATTACGTTAAAAGGCCTCACGGATTAGCAAGCTCTTAAATACCTTTGCGAGTGGAGTTACATGTAAATGGAGGGACGTTTTTTTCCCTGAACGCAGACTTAGAACAAAACTTAGCTGACTAAGCATCACAAAAACTCTGTGAACACTTCTATGATGTCTGTTTATGTCCCAGTCAAATAAACCCTGTGTTTTTGTATTCATTTTGTTTGTAGCTCGACTCCACTTCCAAATATACGGATAACCAACGGCTATGTGACGGTGGAGCCTCCTCTAACACGGCAGGAACAGAAGAGAAGGACGTCTCTCACTGGCCGAGAGGACACTCTGCTCCCTGCTTTGGCTTCACCCAGTCCTAGGAGCGTGCTACCTGCCCTACTCACCTGCCTCCTCTCACAGCTGCTGCTCTTCACCTCCTAACCACAAGGGGGAGCCAATAACACACGCAGACAAACCTCACGTCCAGGCCTCACTGAGTAAGCAGACACAAAAGCTGGCTATGCTGTCAGAAATGGGCTCTGTAAAGCTGAAGAAGGTCTAACAGAGTCTTTAGGCTCAGTTTTGGTGAAGAGCTTCAACATAAGAACATGAAAAAGTTAAGAAGTGAGTACAGAAGCCTGAGTATTTCAGTAAAACTCCTACTACTGCAATTAATTAATGACTCACGTAGACTTGTACTATCTTGAGTAAAAGTATCACCTCCAGTACTGAGTTCTCAATAGAACTACAGTAGAACGTCCAACATATACCAGCATAGAAACTGAAGTTTGTTAGATTCTATTCTTCTCTTTAGTTTAATCCTTTTGGCCTAAAATGGAGAATGAAGAGATCTGAACAACAGTA